CGAGACCCCCGGTTCCTGGCTGGCTGCGGGGCAGCGGGAGCCTTCCCTGGCCCTCTCACCGGGGAAACTGAGGCACAGTGCAACACTCTGTGTCCCCTGGGACCCCAAGTCCAGGCTGGCGCTGTGGGGGGCTGGAGGGGGCTGTGTGGCCATCCCAGCTCTGAGACACCCGCTTCTCCCAGGGCCGCCACGCCAGCCAGGACGAGCTGGCCGCCCTGGCTGGCTGCGGGGCAGCGGGAGCCTTCCCTGGCCCTCTCACCGGGGAAACTGAGGCACAGTGCAACACTCTGTGTCCCCTGGGACCCCAAGTCCAGGCTGGCGCTGTGGGGGGCTGGAGGGGGCTGTGTGGCCATCCCAGCTCTGAGACACCCGCTTCTCCCAGGGCCGCCACGCCAGCCAGGACGAGCTGGCCGCCTCGGCCTACCAGGCGGTGATCCTGGACCAGGAGTACGGGGGGGAGCCCGTGCAAGTGCGCGTGCCCATGGGCAAGGAGCCCCTGCACCTGCTGGCCGTCTTCAAGGGCAAGATGGTCGTGTACGCCGTGAGTACGGAGCGGGCCGGCTCCCGGTGGGCTGCAGGGGGGTCCGGCTTGGGCCCACGTGGCTAACAAGATGCCTCGGCTGTGCCCTGGGGCGGGCAGTGGCAACCCCAAGGATGCCTGAGCATGGCAGTGCTCCTCTCTGGCTATGGGGAATATGGGGAAACTGAGGCACAGAGCGATGCTGAGGTGGTGAGGTCACCCAGAGAGCTGGTGGACGTGGAGGCTGGGACCCCGCAGAGCCCAAGCCCTGCCCCCAGCACTGGGAGCCCCGCCTCCAACCCCTCCATCCCCTCAGGGCGGCACCTCCCGGGCCGGAGCCACGGAGGCGGCGGCAGCCACGCGGCTCTTCCATGTGCACGGCGCCAACGAGACCAGCACGAAAGCCATCGAGGTGCCCGCTCGCGCCGCTGCCCTCAACTCCAACGACGTCTTCGTGCTCAAGACCCCAGCCTGCTGCTACCTCTGGTACGGCAAGGTAGGTACGGCCTGGCCACAGAGACCCAGCGGGGCGAGGGGTCTTTGGGCAGCCGGTGTCCCCGCGGTACCTGCAGCCGCCGCGTGCTCCGTCTCCGGCAGGGCTGCAGCGGGGACGAGCGGGAGATGGGCAAGATGGTGACCGACCTCATCACCAAGACGGAGAAGCTGGTGGTGGCCGAAGGGCAGGAGCCCCCCGCGTTCTGGGCCGCGCTGGGCGGGAAAGCCCCCTACGCCAGCAGCAAGAGGTACCCCCTGCCCTCCGTCCCTGGGACCCTGCCGGAGCCGCCCACCGTGCAGCCCAGAAAGACCCCACAGGGAGCGGCCGTTGGGAGGATTTTTTATGGTTACGGTGTCACGGCCATCCCGCCAGGCTCGGTCCAGCCAGGTGTGGGGCCGGGATGCAGGGGCAGAGGGTTGGAGTAGCATGGGACCGGGAGGGAGCTCTGGGGGTCACATCTAGTCCAGCTGTGCACCTGTCGCAGGATCAGGCCCGGCCCAACCATGCCAGTCACATCCATAGTCGTAGGATCCCAGTGCCACCTTGATGGCACCTGCAATGCTTCGCGGTCGGTCGTGTCTGCCCCCGAGTTCGCGGGCCTGGACCGGCGTGCTGGTTTCTACCTAGACCCGGCAGGGCAGGGGGTAGAGGAGGGGACGTCCCTGGGCTGGGCTGGCAGAGGAAAGGCGGAGGAACGTGGAGAGCTTGAACAAGGAGAGAGCGGCGTTCACGCCTGGGAGTGGAGAAAGATTAGCAGGAACCCGGGAGATGACACTGAGCCACCGAGTCAGTGCTGCCTGGATAGAAATACGGCTGCATCTAGGGGGGCAGGGATCAAAGCGGGGGTCCCCTGGGCAATGCAGCCGCAGGAGGGGGGTCCCCACGCCCCCCCCAACCCACCTCCCGGCAGGTTGCAGGAGGAGACACCGTCCGTCACCCCCCGCCTCTTTGAGTGCTCCAACCAGACGGGCACCTTCGTGGCCACGGAGATCATGGACTTCAACCAGGATGACCTGGAGGAGGACGACGTCTTCCTGCTGGACACCTGGGACCAGGTATGGGGCAGAGGGGCTAATTAAACCCCCCTTAACGAGGTCCCCAGAGCAGCAAGGGGCTGGCCGGGGCAGGATAGACACCCAGACCCTCCCTGCATCTCCATGCCCCCAGCTGAGCCGGTAGCCTGAGCCATGGGGTCCCGTGTCCAGAAAGGCCCCGATCCTGCCCTGTGCCCAGCCCCCTGGCTCCGGGCAGGTCTGGAGAGCCTGTCTGTGGCGCAGGTTTTCTTCTGGATCGGGAAGGAGGCGAACGTGAGCGAGCAGGAGGCGGCGGCGGTGATGGCCCAGGAGTACCTGAGCTCCCACCCCAGTGGGCGCGACCCCCGGACCCCCATCGTGGTGGTGAGGCAGGGCCACGAGCCCCCCACCTTCACCGGCTGGTTCCTGGCCTGGGACCCCCTCAAGTGGCAGGTGAGTGATGGGCCGGGTAGGGGCCCCCCTCTCTGCCCGGCCCTGGAGCTGTGGCCCCCCGGGCCAGGCCCTGGCCCCGGCAGTGCACACCAGAGATTCAGAGCCCAGACGCTGAGGATCTTAAACCCCGATTCACCGCCTGCCCCAGCTATTTAAACCCCCCTGGCAGCTCCGGGGGCAAGGGCCGGGTCCCGTGGGTGGGTGGGGTGGACAGGGGCACCGGCTCTCAGGTGGAGCCAGTGGTGGGGGGCAGCCTTGAGGGCAGGGGTGCCACAAATCTGCCCTGCCCCCTCCCCGAGTGCCACCCTGATCCCCTTCCCCACCCGATCCACTGCTCTGGGTTCTGCTACCTGCAGGGGCTCCCTGCCCCATCGGCTGGGTTGCGCTCCCATCGGCTGCTCTGCTTTCTGCTCCCTACCCAATCTGTTGCTCAGCTTTCTTCTCCCTGCCTTGTGCTCCCTGCCCCATCCCCAGCTCTGCTTTCTGTTCCCGCCCCACTGTCTCTATTCAATGTGCTGCTTGGCTTCCTGCTCCTTGCCCCCTGCCCCATCCACTGCTCTGCTTTCTGCCCCCTGTACTATCAGCTGCTCTGCTTTCTGCTCCCTGCCCTGTGCTTTCTACCCAATCTGCTCCTCTGCTCTTTGCTCTCTGCCCCCATGCCCAGCCTCGGGGCACTGCTGTGCTGGAAGGAGATGGATGAGCTCCTGGACCTCAGCTGCCCCTGAGCGCACCGGACACGCCTGAGCCCTGGTCTCCGTCTCTCTCCCCAACAGGACAAGAAGTCGTATGAGGAGCTGAGGGCTGAGCTTCAAGACAACAAAAACTTTAGCCTTGTCACAGCGGTAAGTGCCCAGGTGCCCCAGGGCAGGTAGGCAGCAGCACTACGGCACCGTGGGCTGATCGAGGAGTTTGCAAACCCATCACCACTGCAACCACTGCCAAAGAGCAAACTTCATGGGCACCTGCCTGAATTGGCTGCATCATACCTTGCACTTAAACTCACAGCTTAGCAAAAAATGATCAAACGATGTGACCTCATTAGTCCTGGAGTCGTTAGAAGCAGACGGATGTCTCTTTTCAGATTCAGAAAGCACCCTGTAGCCATCTGAAGCATCTGGGCAGGGCCTCGGTGCTCTGATGAAAGTGGTTTCTGCGCCTGGGTTCAGGTTTCTAGCTGGGGTTCAAAGCAGCCTGCAGGGCTGTGGAAGAGGAGCTGCGGGACCAGGAGCTGCGAGCAGGCAGCGGGGGTGCAGAAGAAAGGGTAGCTTGATTAGTGGAACCGTTAATGAGGACAGAGGGTTGTTAATGTCTGTGGGGCAAAGAGGTTAGCAGCAATCGGGGAGAGAATGGCAAGAGAAAACGTACTTTGATTAGTGACATTGTTAACAAGGGGAGATGGTCATTAACGCCTGTGGGGTGCGGAGATGAGCAGGAACCAGGGAGCTGATAATGAGCTGCGAAGTCCATCGACTCCCTCTGCACTTCCTGAATAAAAATGCCCATCTCTGCCAGGCAGCTGGTTTTAGATGATGGAGCAGTAGTCCAAGTGGGGGGGCGGGGGGATGCCCAGATGCCCCCGCAGGGGCAGATTCAGGGGGGTGAAGTAGTGCAGTTACCCCCCCCCCCCCCCCCCCTCCCCGCTTTTTTTCCCGCCCCCCCCCCCCCCCCTGCTTCTGCCTGCTTTGCTTCCTGCTCCATCCAAAGTTTTCTAACCAACTGCCTGGCAGTGGTAGTGGCACTTCTATTCAGGCAGCACCAAGGGCCTCCATGGACCTTGCAGCTCATCTTAATAGACCCGATTCCTGCTAATCTCTTCACTCCCCAGGTGTTACCCACCCTCTCTCCTTGCGTGAGCCTTTTGGCTGCCCCGCTGGCTGCTGTTGGCAAGGGAGCTCCTATGTTGCAGTCAGGAGGGAGAAGCAAGAGCTCAGGGGTTGGACACGATGACCTCCCGAGGTCCTTCCAACCCACATTTTCTATGATCCTGCGGATGTAATAACTCACACCAGCTTTAACTTGGCAAGACATTTGGACACGGCTTTAATTGGCAAGAGGCTCAAGAAGGCAGGACATCGTCTTATGAACCTGCACGAGCTGCACGGCTGCTTCTAACCGTCCCAGCCTATTGGTTTCTTTGTCCCTGGAGAAAAATAGGTGCCGGGATGTGTGTGACGATGCCCCACATTAGCTGCACCCCCGCTTTTCAGAGTCCTAGATCTGCCCATGCCTGGATGGGACCAGCCATGCCCCTTGGGCGTGCTGGGGGGGTGGTCTGGGGAAGCCAAGCTGCAGCCTCATGTGACCCCCACCGCCTCTTTGCTGTCTCCCAGGGGCTCACGGGAAAGCAGGAGGTTTTCACGACCAATACCACGCTGAACTCGGGGACCCTGCAGACCTTCCCCCTGGAGGACCTGCGGAACAAGGCCGCGGAGCATCTGCCCCGGGGAGTGGACCCCAGCAGGAAGGAGGTGAGATGCGGGGCTCAGGGGCCGTGCCCACACATATGTGTGCGTGTGCATGTGTAGGAGGTGGTGGGCTCGCTGTGTGCAGGAGAAGGGGAGAGGGATGTGTGCACATGTGGGCAATGCACCTAGGAGGTGAAGGGAGAGGGGGCACATGCGTGTGTGTGTATGTGTGTGAGGAAAGAGAGGAGAGGGTCTTGGTGTGCATGCAGGAGGTGGATGTGTCCACAGGTGTATGTGGTAGGTAGTGAGGGAGGCACAGTGGGTGTGTGCATGTGCTCTGTGTGCACACGTGGGTGAGAGGGACTTAGGGGTGTGTATGTAGAAGATGGTGAGGGGTTGTGTGTGTTGGGGGAGGTGGTGAGGGGCGCTTGGTGTGTGGGTACACGTGTGTGTAAAAGGTGAGAGGCTCTGTGTGCGGGGGAGGGAAGGTGGAGAGAGGAGCTCATGGCATGTACACATGCATGCGTGTGTGTGTGTAGAAGGTGAGAGGGGCTTGGTATATGTGTGTGTAGAAGAGGGTGAGTGACTTGGTGTGTGGGTGTGTGCACACGTGTGTAGAAGGTGGTGAGGGGCTGTGTATGTGTTTGTGTGGAGAAAGTGGTGAGAGAAACTCAGTGTGCATGTACATACATATACACGTGTGTGTGTGTGTAGGTGGTGGTGAGACAGGCTCAGTGTACATCTACACGTGTGTGTGTGAGTGTAGAAAATGAGTGGAGCTTGCTGTGCATATACACGTGTGTGTGGGGGGGGTGAGAAGGGCTTGGTGTGTACATACACACATGCATCTGCATAGAAGTGGGTGAGGGGCTTGGTGTGCATGCAGGAGGTGAGAGGGCTTGGTGTGCGCGCACACACATGCACACGTGTGCACATGCAGAGGCATCGGACCCCGCCTCTCCCCTCCATGCCCTGGTACGAGCTCTGCAGCCTCCCGGCTCTCACAACCCCCAGCGCCCACCCTTAACCCCGCTGTGCCCGCAGGAGCACCTGAGTGACCAGGACTTCCAGGCCGTGTTCGGGATGTCCCGGGGCGCCTTCGCCGCGCTGCCGCCCTGGAAGAGGCAGATGCTCAAGAAGGATAAGGGGCTCTTCTGAGGCGGTGCCAGCCCCTGACTGCTTGGGGACACCGGCGTGGGGGGGCTCTGTCCCATGCCCCCCCATGGCCCTCAGGGTGGCCACCACCTCGCCCAGGTGCCACCCAATAAATCCAGCGCACAGAGCACGGCCTCCGCCTCCTCGCTCCTGGTGACCTCAGCCGCTGCCCCCAGTCCCCATGATCTCAGCCATGTTCCTGCCCCGGTCCTGGTGATCTCCACTGTGTGGCCCTAGCCATGTCCCCCAGCCGGGGAGAAGTTTTGGCTTGCCCAGACTGCATTTGCATAGGACCCGCGGCTGGTGGGGGATCCTGGCTCGGGCAGAGGGGGGAGGTCTGGGCTGGGTAGGACGTCTGCGGTGGGGGCTGCTATGGCCTGTCCTGGGGGGCTTGCAGCGGCGCAGTTCGAAGCGCAGGGAAGGTGGGAGTGTGAATCCTCACCCCAGCCCCGTCCCCAAGGGGCTGCAGGATCTGCAGTGTCCACGTTTGCTTGTGTGGGTGTTCACGTCCCCCTGTCATGCGTGTGCCCGTGAGTGGTTGTGTGTGTCCATGCATGTCCACGTGTGTGTGTGTCTGCATGCGCGGGGCTGTGTGCATTCGTGTCTGTGCTTGTCCATGTTCAGGCATGTCCACATCTGTGTGTGCATCCATACGTGCTCATCTCTGCGCGTGTCTGTGTCCACACATATAAATGTATGTGTGTAGGTGTCCATGCATGGGCACACGTTTCTGTGTATGGATCCATGCACATCCAAGTGTGCCCATGCTTGTGCGCGTCCATGCCGGTCTCACCACGTCTGTGAAACAGGTTTGAGAAGCTGCGCTGAGCGCCCTAGAAGCAAGCTCTGTCCTGTAGCAAGGTGCGGCGTGGGATAGGCCTGGGCCTGGCGAGGTGCCACGGGTTCCCAGCTGCCCGTGCCAAAGGTCGGAGCCCCGTATAGCTGCTGCAATCGCTGTTATCTGCAGAGGCCTCATAAAAGCCCTGTGCAAATATTTGCAGGGCTGAAGGTGCCAGGCTGGGGGAGGAATCGGGGCAGGAGGGGTTGAAGTGCAGCTGGTGCTTCCTCACTGCCCTTGACCCCACTGTCCGATAGGCTGGTGGGGTGGGACCCGGGGCAGGCTGTGTGCTTGACCAGCACGTACAAGAGGCCTGACCCTGCCCCAAGCAGCTTGTAGCTCCAGCCCTGCCGGCAGCTGCAAGAGGCTGAGCTGTCCCCCAGTGCCCATGTGGAACAGGTACCGTGCCCCACAAGCATCAGACTAGCCCAGAGGGAAGGAAGGAGGCACCATGGCAGCTGGTGCGGATGGTTTCCCTTTCCCCAGTTGCACCACGTGTCAGTAAACAGCAGCTGGCAATCCCCATGTGGACGCCCCATGGGTTTAAGGGACCTTGTGATGCTTTTATTTTGTGTGTTCACAATTCCCTTCTTCACCCTTCACCTGCTCTTCGCCTTTTCACTGGCTGCTGAGCAAAGAGCTCATTTAGTGATGTGTCCACCACGACTCCCTCATCTCACGAGGAAGGGACCAGCTTTTCCATCCTAATGCTGAAATGGTGGTTGGGTAGTGATGTGTCCACCACGACTCCCTCATCTCTTGGCTAATGGCCAATGTAGAGCTCACGAGGAAGGGACCAGCTTTTCCATCCTAATGCTGAAATGGTGGTTGGGGGGGGCGGCAAGGAGTGGAGCCTTAATGAACCCCCTCAGCTGCCCAATGTCATAATTGGGCAACAAGAACAGGTACTGCAATAAAATCAGAGCATGAGGGTGGGAAAGGACCGCAGGTGATCACAGTCCAACCCCCTGCTCAAAGTCGGACCAGCCCCAAGTGGATCCCAGCCAAGGCTTTGTCCGAACACCTCCAAGGATGGAGAGTCCCCATCTCTCTGGGTAAGCTGCATCGGTTGCAGCCGTCAGGATTTCGGTACTGATGTAACAACAGCCGGCGGGTGCCAGGTGGGGCTGGAGCGTACTGTGGCTCTACCGCAGCCAGCACCCACGCGATTGCACCGAAGCTCGCTGGAAGACGCAGTGAGTTCATTCCTGGGTGACGGACTGACGATACCAGCCGCTTCCTCCAGGTCCCGGACTAAGGAACAAGAGTGCACTGAGCGCACACGTGTCCCCGCCAGCCCACCCCCACCGCCTGCATGGGGCAGGGGAAATGGAGATGTGGGAGCATGGGAGGGTTAATAAAGAGGTTTTAATTCCACAGAAGAAATCTTATCTACACACAGTTTAAAAACAGGGAGGGGAGGGCAAACCTCTAAAGATCCCAGTGGAACAGATCTGCTAAAACACAGAGAAAAGTGCTGCTCCACGGGAAGACGGGAAGGGCCCCAACGGTGGTCACGCGGCCTCCCCTTGACACGCACGTGGCCAGACATGTGCCCGCAACCCTGACAGCCACTGAGCCGGGTGGCAGGCAGGTTCTCTGGTAAGGCCCCCACTGGATCCTGTCTTTGGTGATTGGTTACTAGCCCCAATTAAATTGGTTTAGAAAAGGAAGTGATGAGCCCTGTTGCTCCCCTGGTCCTGCCCAGTGCCCCCAGCCTTGCCACGGGCCCTCAATGTCTGTATGAAGGTAACGCGGGCTAACCCACCATTTCTCCCGTTGGCTGTAGCAGCCCTGTTAAACCCCTCGTGCGAAGCGAAAGGTCCTCTCCCCAGCTAGGTAGGATGGGATGAAAGCCCAGCTAGGGAAGACGCATCCTTCCAGCACAGACCGCATCTCTCTGGCCAGTCTTGCCCTGCACGCACCTCTCCGATGGGCCCAGCAGCAATTCTGCTTTTCCCACCCCCAATACAAGCACAGCTATCGCACAAAGCAAACGTAAGGAAGAGGGGAAACCGAGATCAATGGAAAGCTGACAAAAGATGAGGGGAAGGGAGGAAGCAAGAGCCCCCCCGCGCTGCCCTTCCAGACTGAACTGTCGCTGGACCAAACCCACCAGGCTCTGGGGTGAATAAGGGTCTGAGCGAGGACGCTCTGAGTGATGGGTAATGTGCCCTGCACTGGACCCTCGCTAGCTAGGCACACCCATGAGCCCTACTGGCATCGCTGTATTACCCCCCAAAAGCCTCCTGCTTCCCAGCTGGCTTGACAAGAGCTTCTACTAAAAGCATGAGGCCGAGAGGATGGGAGCCGCCCCGTGGCATTGCTAGCTACAAACCAGGCTGACTGCAAAGGCCACGGGGGGCTAAAGCTGAGCGGTATCAAGTTACTGCAACGAGAGGCAGCATGGGAGGCGCACGGTGAAGGATGCTGGGGACACCTGGGTGTTGATCGCACCAGCAAGCTCCAGTGGGCAAGGTCACCGGCTCACAGGAGCTTGTTCACCTCCTGCTACTGACAACACGGGTGAGCATGTAGCCTTCGCTCCAACAGGGAAACCCGGCCGCAAGCTTCCCCTTTGCACCAAGCCCGAGCTGTGCTCACCAGGGGGGCGTTTGGCTAGCACCGGGCTCCCCAGGGGCATTTACACATGGATGGATCCGGGGAGCTGCATGCTTAGACCCGAGGGAACTAAGTTCCCTGCTCAGTTCGTTGGTGGACCTGTTACTTCTAGCACCGCCGCCGGCTGTGACTGGGGGAAAAACTGGAGAAAGGGGCGAGTCACGGTGGAGAACAGTGACTGCTCTAACACCACGCTCCCCACCTTTTGCTCTGGGCCTCTACAACAAAGTCCTCTGGGAACTGCCCCCTCCCCAGTTCGATGCACCTTCATTTCAACAACGGAAAACGTGAACGGTTTATAACAACATGCTGCGCGCGGCCGGAGCTGCATCGTCTTAAGGGCAAAGCTTTGCCATGCATGTCGCAGGTCCGCATCTAAGCCCGCTTACTGCAAGACCAGCACCTAGCAAGACCTCCCGCTTCTTTGGTTGCGGTTAGCCTTCCACCCAGAAGCTCCGTGGACTCCGGATGATCCCTATCTGATGCCCGCTGTCATCAGAGACACATCTGCTTAGCTCTAGGTATTTTATTCCTGAGAAACTCCTCATGGTAGTTTTAAAACAGAACATCCTTGATAGCAAAGAAAGGTGGAAAAAAATAAAACCCTTTCAACATCTGTAACCAGTTAATCCAATTGCAAAGAGGCAGAATTAGGGGCAAAACTCAATCAACTCCTCCAGTTGCTAATAACAATTCATTTGGGAGAACCCCCCCCCCAAAAAACAAACGGCAAACAAAAAACCCAGCAGCTGAAGGAAAATCGGCCCAAGTTAAATAAAAGATGGTTTGAAGGTGCTAATAAGAATCAAATTGTGGGATGTTTTACTGAAACCGGCTATAAAACGAGCTTCGTGTTACTGAAGTCAACTAGGAAAATAGAAGAGGTAAAACACGTGTGCCCTGAAATCTCTTCTTAACCTTGAAGTTTCCAAAGCTTCTCAATGGAGCTGGGTTAAAGCAGCTGAACGCTCCAGACTCCTTAAAGCCCAATAGATTTATAGCTACCCTGAAAGCACATCTCTCTCTGGGCAGTTCTGGGGGTCCCGAAGGTCAGTTTGAAACCTTGGCTCAGTCTAACGGAGCGATCCAAGGATAATCTTGCCGACGGGCTTTCTTCACTCGTTCTGTTTGAGATGACACAAAGAGACAAAGCTTTGCGTGTGCAGACTCTGAAGGGGCCGGGCCAGAACGACAGTTCCTGGCGTGCGATGACACGTGGCCGGGGTTCACTTCCGAACCTGCCGAAGGTCAAAGCTTACCTTCCACCCCCTGCCCCATCAGCTGCGGCTGTCGAAGTCAAAACAAGGCAACCCGACATGGTTTGAAGCCAGAGAGAAACACGTACGTGGAGACAGATGCTTCATCTGCGAGCTGCACCAAGCAACAATGCTATGGAAAGAGGCAGTCGGAGAATAAAACGTTCAAAACAAAAACCAAACGTGTGTATAATAGCGTTAAACCAGGGGGGACGAGGAACTCTGGCAAGGTGATGGAACGCAGCTGGGTCTTAAACGCGTGCCACAGAACCTGCACTTTGTTTCCCAGCACTGCAAAGAAACGCCAGAGTGTCTACCATCCTGCCGACGTCAGGACACGTTCAACTGGCATGGTGCGGACACCCCAGCTAGCAGGGCAGACTGGCCATAGGATACTCGGCGTCGGGGGGTTTCCAGTGAACGTTACTAACACGAT